AGTTATTCACCAAAAAAATCTAAAATACTAGTCATTATATGAAAAATAATTTAGTAGAATCATTCTCATGCAATTACATGTACCAAGACTTAAATTCTTTCGGGCACAAACCCCAAGAATTCAAAACTAGATCTCAAATTCATCTTCTTCTTCCAAACCCGATCTCTTCTCCGCCGCAACCACCACGAGTTCTCAGCATAACGGATTTTTATCCGGCGACGTTGGCGCTTGCCGGCGTCGCCCCCTCCCCTTTTCTCCTTTCAAAACTGTTCGGCACAAGAAACTCTCAAGTCAAGTTCGTGTATTAACTTCCGTCGGCCATCGATATTGCCGACGAGACCTTCCGGGCATATCCTGCTCTGGTAACCTTCGTCACTCTCCGTCGCAATCCATGGATTCCGGCGAGATCTTGGACTCCAGCGTGGACGCGGCCGTTCATCCTAAAAACGCTCCCAAGCTCGAGAATCGAGGAACCGCTCAACAAACTAAAATCTTTCCGAAGACGGGTTCTCTCCTTCTCGTAACCTTCGTCGGCCAATGTTGTTACCAACAAGACCGTCCGGGCACACTCTGCCTTGGTAACCTCCGTCACCCTCCGCCATCTCCCATGGATTTCGGCGAGATCTTGGAGCCATCGAGCTCGCTCACCCATGCCAAACTTCACCATCGGCCCGACTTGCTCTCCTCCTCCGCCGCAAAGCTTAATTATCGTCGTCTCTCACCACAAGCCTTTACACAGTTATCTCTCCTCTCCTCTCTTGCCGATGTCGTGAGCCATATAGCTCCGGAGACTGTAAATCCGGCAAGCACTCCACTGGCAGCTCCCACGTCAACGAACCTCTCCCCATCGACGTGTGATAAGTCAGTCCTAGCTCAGTCTTCGGCTTCTATCCCTGCTCCGTCGACTGCACAAATATACTCCTCGCCGAGATCTCAGTTCGTTGTCACCGGCTCAGTCAACCTCTCCCTCGCCGGTCAAGATTTCAGTTCTGGAGTTGTTGTGGCTCCGACCTCCGCCCTTTCAGCCTTCCCGGCGAGTTTTCACTATCCCGATGAGCCACCTCTGTTCCGACGTGTTTCCAATATCCTTTCAATTCTCCGGCTTCACGAGAAGAAGGCTGGATGTTGGGTAAGGCCCATTTTGAGATTTTATTATCCTAGCCCAATACATGGGCTTATTATTATTTGGCGATGTGTGCATACTCTCCAATAATCTTAATTTTGGATGTATGACACTTTGTTAGGATTAGTATCGGAACCGCTTTCATACTTTGCATCGATATTACTTGCTTTTGAGCTTATTGGATTCTCTTCTTTGAGAAGTTCAAAGTTTTCTGGATTCTCAAATCCTGTAGTTTTTAATAATTATATCTCTTCTATTGTGAGAAGATACAAGTTTTCTGGGTTCTCAAACCCTGTAATTTACTCCCGATGGAAGAGTCTAATTCCACTTTCTTCCATCTTTTTGAGAGTGGTCGAATTCCCGAGCATTATGCCGGGTTCTTCAAAGTCACAATGTAAAGTGACTACCCTGAGTCTCTCCCGCCTTGCTGCGAAGACCCTCTTGACGCATCCAAGATATGTCTTGAATCTGCTGTCCATCTACTACGATGATCTATCTGCCTTATGTTTCATTGCATTGCAATTATGTTGTATTGATGTTGGAGGATGCTTAATTCCCTCCTTTTATACTCTGATCGTTTAAATTAATAAAAAAATTTGTTGAAAAAAAAAAAATCATTCTCATGCACAATCATGTACGATCATAGCGCACAATAGATCTTGTTGAGATTAAAAACAAAAAAACCCTAATACACGAAAGAATGAGTTGTACCGACTTGTACCGTACGTACCGGGGGAGTTTACGGCGACCCAAAATAAATTATCATTCTCTGAACTCTCTAAGTCTCTATGCATACGCCACTTGTTGTTTTGTCTTTTCAAATTTCGTCAAACTATTGTTTAGGAA